AAACCGCCCAAGCCTCGTTTTTGAGTGAAAATCCTTTTATTATTACTCATCTTGACGAGGCTAGGAAGGCTCATTTACATGCATCTAAAAGAAGAACTATTAGACCCGCCATTTATGAAAAAAGTGTATAACCACCAAAGAAATGACAGACACCGTATTGTACTCTTAACCAAGTGTGTTTATTTCCTCTGTAATTTACTTTAGTACATTCATATGAAAGTTTACTTAATTGGCTTACAAACCGCGTACAAATATATTTCCGCGGCCACTACATATTCCCCCATTTAAATTCTATCTTAGTTTTCACATAGCTTCCTTCTTAAGAAGTGCATCATCACGGCTTATCAAAACAATAATAAGAAACTAAAACTAAACGTTAATAATAATAAAAAAGGAGAAAAAAAAAAAGAAACTCCACCAAGAGGATAACCAGGTATTCAACTCGGCCTATAAGTACATTATAATAACCTTATTTATTTTCTCTACAATCCAAGAAACGTATTACATTGAGTGATCAGTAACAATTTCTGAATTAATTATCACTTGGCTGAAGGCAAAAATAGTAAACTCAGGAGTTTACCCAACAAACCAGCAAACAATTCTGCACACCGGTCGCCGTATGAAGTGACAAACCCGTTTCGTTTTTCCCCAACTATCTGGCACCCAATTGCAAACTTTGTTAGATGCCCAATCACACACGGTGTTACAAACACGTCTCAGGACATGTCTCAGGAGCTGCCGTTTCTTACCTAAGAAAAGAAAAAAGGCAGAGCACAATAAGTGTATATTAAGGGCCGAAGGTCAGGGCTGTAACTGCGTGTGGCTGAGTCAGTTTTAAAACCTCTCAAACTAAAATGAATATGATTCGAAATGATTTACGTTTTACAGACTATCGTAAAGCCGACTTATAAGGTATTTTTATACGGGCATGCACCTTGTTCTCATTTGACTGAGCAAACACTGTAAACTGAGTCGTAACAAAGGCCAAAACTTCTTATTCAGCTTTATTCATTATCACTTACGTGCTTTCAGAACATTTTCCGGGTTAGGTGTTTGTCTTGTTTCGCTTAAGTCAATGGGATTTACGTTTCCTTTCACCACTGCGTAGACTTGCAGCTTGGCACACAAACGTACCATTTCATCACTTAGCTCTGATCGGTCTTCAAGAGTTCCTACAACTGTTAGGTTTATGTCAGTTCGAGCCTTAGGCAACCCTCCATCTGTTTTAGGAGGTACCTAACCATAAAAGAAAGACAAGTATTAAAGCGATAGGAATCCAGACACCAGGGCAGCCGCGGTGGAAAACTAATGGTTTTTGTGAGCTAGCATTTTATCTCGTAAACTTCCTGACGATCCAATTGGCTTGAATCACAAAGATGATTTAACTGTATATGGCACTTACCAATGCTAAAGCTTTCATTAAGTCGGCGGGCTTGAGAGCGTCATCAGTTGAATGGGTCAAATAGCAAGCCTTTGCTGCTGGCAAGCGTATCATTGTCATTTTCTGTAGGAAAAATGGAATTAAGTATAATGATTAAATCGATATCGACAACCAGAACCCCTTGGAGGTCAGTAGGCTGATTTAGCAACAGAACGGGAACGTCAGTTGACGACGGCGCGCGCAAACCAAACAACTGGCTTGACCATCTTGACCAATGGCAGAGCAACAAATTGAGCACCGGAAGTCGTGTTTAGTCCTTTCCGCGCGCTTTCCCGTCGTCAACTGACGTTCCCGTCCTGTTGCTAAATCAGCCTATTTTCACTGTCACGCGAACTTTCACGTCATTTTAGTAAATAGAGTATTTTGGCCGTTTTGTTGAGTCAATGTGAGTCGTCGCATGGACTAATTCCAAGCCTCTGAGGCGGTTAGCGTTGGCTGTGCGTGGAAATCACAGTCTTGTCAAAAACATTTTAAAGAAATTCTGCCAGCAAAGTAACGTTTTTACGTTAAAGTGCCATATCGTTTATTGATCAAAAAAGAAAAAGAGAAATATTTTTGGTGAATAGTTACGGCAAGGATTCATACTGTTCAAAGGTTTTAAATACTGATTTATATTGACACTTCAGTAAACGTTACTGATCTGTTGAGATTTAATTTAAGATGCATGACTTATCGTGTTCAATAAACTAGTTAAAACTTTTGTTTAAAAAATATATCTTACGCAGAACTTTAGCCCAACCGCTATGGAAGGGTCATTCAGTAAATCTGCTGGGCTTCTATGCATTAATTAACCTGTTCAGATAGCATTTATTTGGAAATGATTAGAAACGTCGCTTCAATGGGGCTGTAACTCTCAGTCTCCTATTTTTAAAAATCAGGTCAATAACAACGTTTGGTTTTTGGCTTGTTTCCGTTTGGTTCTGCTTCGTATTTTTTGTTTGTTTGTTTGTTTGTTTGTTTATTTTTGGCGTTCGCTTGTTTGCTTTTTTTAATCTTAAGTATGAAAGTCTTAAAAAAGACCGAAGAAATCTTGAAAATTGAAAAGAAGACGGTGATGGCACAAACGTCAACGGCAATTATATTGCAAAGCTGAATTTTAAGATCACTTTGAATCATGTCCTTTTATAATTCATAATGATCCGAAATGGGTTACAAACTCCCAAGGACGCTACTCCCCATCGCTTATATGCACGGTCCTTTCCTCCAAGAGTGAAAATAAAACTCTATTACCTTTTTAAAGTCGTAGATTATATCTCCTGCTTCTTCGTCAGGCGAAGTCTTTGGTACGTGAAACGTTTCTGTTTGCTTTTCAGCGTCAATTTCGATTTTTTCGTCATATTCTTCCCCGGTGCTGCTCGACAACTTCAGTGAGTATTTTATCACGGAATCCTGTAAAAAGTGGTGAGTAAGTTATATAAATTTTAAACATTGTCATAAAAAAATAAAACATTATTTAGTTGAAAGGGCAGTATTTAGTGCAATTAAACTTTAACCTGCAAATCCGGCGGCTGGTTGTAATAGTTAAGGCAATTAAAATCGACACCAAGAAAACGGGTCAGTAATGAAGCTCTTTATACATTTACGGCTCCCGACATTTATTGTTATTATACCACTACATGAGAAATTTCTGCAGTTTGATTGGCTTAGAGCAGTGGTATTTCAGCTTAATTTGAAATACCTACATGTGAAAATTACAAACCTTTTGCGGGTAGTAGTATAAACAAATAATAGGATGATTTGTACGTGATATTTGGCATAAATACCTCTCATGATATTTCAAAATTGTCTCAAATTTCACTCGCCTAACGGCTTGTGAAATTACGTATAACAATTTGGAAATATCACTTGTGGTATTTATGCCAAATATCACTACAAATCATACTATTACCCATACAAATGATTGACTAGATTGATATTTCAAAACGGAGGATGAAGATTTCAACCCGCTAATAATAGCCTACATTACAAAAGTGTCAAAGCGTAACATTATTAACACAACTAGGAAGTAACGATTTCTCATACTAGTCATTAGACTGCGAGCAGTCCCTCTTCAGTCAGTCGAGTCTAAGCTCGGTAGGACTGGAGAGAGCGAATTGGCCGAGAGGGAAACAGTCTAACTAGTCTTACCTTTTTCTGCTCGAGAAAGGAGGTGGACCGGACAGTGACAGCCAGCAGAGCAAGACAAGATAAGAACAACTTGATTTTCTGGTGAAAAAATAAAAGCGATTTAGTACAGTTGAATTATAACCGTGAGTTCTTTCCGTGTTTTCCTTTCTTGGTCTTTCTGTGCAAATTTGTGTTTGAATTCGACCTTTGACATTTTAACAAGTTTCTTTATCAATTTTATTAACGAGCGCTGGCTAAGAACATGTATGCTCAGTCTGTATGCTTCCCTTCATCCCTTTATATTACTTTTGAAACCTTACGAGATAGAAAAATTAGTATTCTAACCTGACTTCACTGAAGTGTAGACGATAAGGGATAGTGTTAATTGATAGAATTTGAAGGAACGAAATTAAAGAAAGTGTTACCGTATTGCACAGTGTGTGCAAAGCTCAATTCTCAATTCCTGGCTACCTTCATGGCGTGAAAGCCCTGACATTAAAAAGAAATGTCATTTGCTGCTACAGGTTGTTGCTACATACGAAGCTTTCGACAGCCAAAATAACAGATATCATTTTTCAGGGGCACCCAACGAGAATATAGTTCAAAACCACTTAAACATAGAATTGTTTAACGTATTTTAGTATTTAAACGGTAGATATACGCATATTTTTGCCCCCTAAAAATTAGGTTAACTGAGAAATTGCTCAACTGTAATGGTTTCTTTAAAACCCATCGCTATCCCCCTTTTCTAAAATTCCGACAAAGACAAAGAATTTTCGTTCAATTTCCGACAGCGACGTGAAGCATTAATAAACACCGACACGTGACGTTTTAAAATTCAGACGAGCGAAATGGGAGCCCCCCCTGGCAGGGCCTCAACCATCTACCTCAATGATAAAAATCCTGGTATTTCGTAACTATTCAGTATTCGATGAGTCACATTTTGGCTCAAGAAACTCCGAGGAAACCTTGGAGTTTTCCTTGTAATCAACGTTTGGTGAGTAGAAATTTTTTTACTTTAACAATTTGTTTAACTTGCACCAGATGTAACAGGGAAAGACAGAGGAAAGTGAATATATGGGTTGGGGATCGACTTAGCTGAGCGTTTCGCGTTTTCATCTGTGTAGCGCAATACCCAATTTCGCACAAAAACCAAATCTACATTTAGGATGAAAAAAGTAGATGCATCACTCTTGGTAAGGTTAAACCGAAGTATTATAGTTACACTGAAGCATTCAAAATAGCTCATGCACGTTTAATGTGCCTATGTTTACATTGCGATATTGGCGAAACCAAACAAAAATAAAATTCTCCCCCAGGCGGTTTTTTGGTGTTTCTTTCAGGGATGCAGCCGCCCAAAAGCTGAACCACAGTCAAACGAGAAAATGATCGGGGTAGGGTCTCTCGGCCTTCTTTTAACCTTAATTTAGCTTAAAATTAAAAACACTGAAAAATGGTGTTCTAAGAACAATCCTTTTTAGACCAAATAATTTAATATCGATTTAAATTTTTCATGGTTGCCAAATTGGGTAAGGTGATGCATGATTTTATTATATTAAGCGGATGAAAAAAATCACTTGGTGCTTTTGTGAGTCTTGAGAGCGTTCACAATTATGGTGGGCGGGCCTCAACCCAAACTCTAAATCTTCGAAATTTATGAATATTCCATATCACGATTCCAAACATCCATTTCTGCGACGAACAAACACAGAGGAAATTTCAAGTTTTGACCCAAAAGGAAAGTTTTATTTCTTGGAAATTATCTCAGATAGCTCAAACACAAAAACAAAATTTTATAGAGGTTAATCTCTTGGAAAATATTAAATATAAGATGGCTCCTTCCTACAACAGTCTTCTTTTTTGAATCAATACGCATTTTAACCATTTTTGGATTCACTGTACATAAAAGACACTTCAAATTTCGAGTCAAAAGCTAAGATTAACCAGCCAAGAAATTTCCAACACGTCCCCATTCCAGCATCAAACTCTTCTTAAATTATTTGTGCTCCTTATTTGAGTGACTTTGACAACATTTTAAAATATCTTCAAACGTCGTTTTTTGGGGGGGGGGGATGCAACTTCAGCGCGACAGAAATTGCATCGAATTGGGCGAAAAGGGGAAAATTAAATGCGCCTTGAAAAGGACTATTTTAAAAATGGTAAAAAAAAGAAAAACGCAGAAAGAAAAAACACGCGAACAGCGATAACGTTAATCTGAACGGATTGATAGTGCACACTGTGTAACAAATAAAGAAAAAGAGCGGGAAAATGGAACACAAAAGGAAAACACCGAAACGGAACGCAAATGGAACGTATATGGGAACGCAGATAGACGACACAACGTAACTCAAACTCAGAGGGAACGTGTACGTGACCTAAAATGGAAACGCAGGTAGGGAACACAAAATGGAAGTGAAACGCAAACGGAACGCATACGTGAACTGAAGTAGAGACACAAGCGGGAATACATGCATAAGGAAACGTAAAGGGAACGTTTACGTGAACTGAAATGGAAACGATGATAGAAAGGAAACAAAACGCGTACGTCAGAATAAAACCGAAAGGCGGATAGCGAGAAAATCTTATTTGCAATAGAAATTTCAGACTCTGCATTTTCCAGAAAGTTCTTTCTCCAGAACTGGGCAAAAAACGGAACGTCTTACTCCATAGATTCTTTCATCGCCACGGCTCAGACTCCTAGACCCCTCATAAAAGGCGGGCACAATTATTATTCTTTTGTGTAAATGCAAAAAAATCTTCCAAGCCTCGTTTTTGAGTGAAAATTCTGTCAGTATTACACTTGATTTCAGCTTCACTACGCAACAGACAGAGCACATAATGAACCATTAGGTTTATTTTGCGTGTTTTGGCCGAGCACCAGAGTACAATAAGTAATCTAATACAAAAAACCATTGAAATCTAACACTATCTTCTAAGTCCCTCCAATAGCAGCTAGGAAAATAACGAGAGCTTGGCAACCACTAACAAGACACAGTGGTTAGACTGGGGCCAGAAAAAACCTGCCGAAAAAAAACCCTTAGGGAAAAAATATAACAGGAAATCTGGGTAGGAACCAGGCCCAAGCTCTGCAGCCCATCCTAAAAGGCGATTAACAAAAATAAAAAATTATAGTGAGTGGTGTCGGCCTAGAATGATTGCCCACGTGCAATCCCAAGCTTAAATACTCACACGCCATTACCCATGATGCAACTACATTAAAAAGACCCAGGCCCACGGCCTGCTGCTCCCGTGCCGCAGAAATATTTAATTTCAGGCTAATTCGTAGCGACTCAATCGCCAGAAATTTCATTTGACGAGGCTAGCAAGGCTCATTTACATACATCTAAAAGAAGAGCTATTAGACCCGCCATTTATGAAAAGGGTGCATAACCACTAAAGATTGAAATGACAGACACCGTATTCTACCCTCAACTAAGTGTGTTTATTTCCTCTGTAATTTACTTTAGTTCATTCATATGAAATTTTACTTAACTGGCTTACAAATCGTGCACTACATGTTCCTCCATCTATGACTCATCTATATTCTTAGTTTTCACATAGCTCTATCTGGCCTTTTTAAGAAGTGCATCATCACTGCTTATCAAAACAATAATAAAAAACTAAAACTAAAAATTAATAATAATAATAATAATAAACAGAAATAAAAAAGGAACACACCAAGTAGATATCCAGGTATGCAAGCTTACCAAGTATATTATTTTAACATTATTGACTTTCTCTACAATCCTATCTCTCATGGGGGGAGGGACTGTTACGGGCCCGGAGTAATTGCCGTTGTCATGGTGTTGCCGTGACCCAGCAAATCATTGACGAACCTAATAAGATAACATAAATATTACATTGAGTGATCAATAACAATTTCTGAATTGATTATCACTTGGCTGAAGGCAAAAATAGTAAACTCAGTAGAGTTTACTCAGTAACATACCAGCAAACAATTCTGCACACCATTTTCCGGATCCACTCACACACCTTTTTACAAACAGGCGACTGTCGTTTCTTACCTAAGGAAAGAAAAAAAGGCACAGTACACTTCGGGTAAGTATTACATCCCTTACCGTTAACAACTAACATAATTAGGGCCAAAGATCAGGGCTCTAACTGCATGTGGCTGAGTCAGTTTTAAAACCTCTCAAATTAAAATGGATTCGAAATGATTAAACCGACTTATAACGCATTTTATAGGGGCATGCACCTTGTTCTTATTTGACTGAGCAAACACTGTAAACTGAGTCGTAGCAGAGGCCAGAACTTCTTATTCATTATCACTTACGTGCTTTCAGAACATTTTTCGGGTCAGTTGTTTGTCTTGTTTCGCTAAAGTCAATGGGATTTACGTCTCCTTTCACCACTGCGTAGACTTGCAGCTTGGCACACAAACGTGCCATTTCATCACTTAGCTCTGATCGGTCCTCAAGAGTTCCTACAACTTTTAGTTTTATGTCAGTTCGAGCCTTTGGCAACCCTCCATCTGTTTTAGGAGGTACCTATCCATAAAAGAAAGACCAGCATTAAGCGATAGGAATCCAGACACCAGGGCAGCCGCGGTGGAAAACTAATGGTTTTTGTGAGCTAGCATTTTATCTCGTAAACTTCCTGATGATCCAATTGGCTTGAATCACAAAGGTGATTTAACTGTATATGGCACTTACCAATGCTAAAGCTTTCATTAGGTCCGCGGGCTTGAGAGCGTCATCAGTTGAATGGGTCAAATAGCAAGCCTTTGCTGCTGGCAAGCGTATCATTGTCATTTTCTGCAGGAAAAATGGAATTAAGTATAATGATTAAATCGATATCGACAACCAGAACCCCTTGGAGGTCAGTAGGCTGATTTAGCAACAGAACGGGAACGTCAGTTGACGACGGCGCGCGCAAACCAAACAACTGGCTTGACCATCTTGACCAATGGCAGAGCGGCAAATTGAGCATCGGAAGTGGTGTTTAGTCCTTTCCGCGCGCTTTCACGCCGTCAACTGACGTTTCCCGCGAAATTTCACGTCATTTTAGTGAATGGAGTATTTTGGCAGTTTTGTTGAGTCAATGTGAGTCGTCGCATGGACTAATTACAAGCCTCTGAGGCTGTTAGCGTTGGCTGTGCGTGGAAATCAAAGTCTCGTCAAAAACATTTTAAAGAAATTCTGCTAGCTAGGTAACGTTTTTACGTTAAAGTGCCATATCGTTTATTGATCAAAAAAGAAAAAAAGAAATATTTTTGGTGAATAGTTACGGCAAGGATTCATACTGTCCAAAGGTTTTAAATACTGATTTATATTGACACTTCAGTAAACGTTACTGATCTGTTGAGATTTAATTTAAGATGCATGACTTATCGTGTTCAATAAACTAGTTAAAACTTTTGTTTAAAAAATATATCTTACGCAGAACTTTAGCCCAACCGCTATGGATGGGTCATTCAGTAAATCTGCTGGGCTTCTATGCATTAATTAACCTGTTCAGATAGCATTTATTTGGAAATGATTAGAAACGTCGCTTCAATGGGGCTGCTAACTCTCAGTCTCCTATTTTTAAAAATCAGGTCAATAACAACGTTTGGTTTTTGGCTTGTTTCAGTTTGGTTCCGCTTCGTATTTTTTGTTTGTTTGTTTGTGTTTTTTTGGCGTTCGCTTGTTTGCTTTTTTTAATCTTAAGTATGAAAGTCTTAAAAAAGACCGAAGAAATCTTTAAAATTGAAAAGAAGACGGTGATGGCACAAACGTCAACGGCAATTATATTGCAAAGCTGAATTTTAAGATCACTTTGAATCATGTCCTTTTATAATTCATAATGATCCGAAATGGGTTACAAACTCCCAAGGACGCTAATCCCCACCGCTTATATGCACGGTCCTTTCCTCCAAGAGTGAAAATAAAACTCTATTACCTTTTTAAAGTCGTAGATTATATCTCCTGCTTCTTCGTCAGGCGAAGTCTTTGGTACGTGAAACGTTTCTGTTTCCTTTTCAGCGTCAATTTCGATTTTTTCGTCATATTCTTCGCCGGTGCCGCTCGACAACTTCAGTGAGTATTTTATCACGGAATCCTGTAAAAAGTGGTGAGTAAGTTATATAAATTTTAAACATTGTCATAAAAAAATAAAACATTATTTAGTTGAAAGGGCAGTATTTAGTGCAATTAAACTTTAACCTGCAAATCCGGCGGCTGGTTGTAATAGTTAAGGCAATTAAAATCGACACCAAGAAAACGAGTCAGTAATGAAGCTCTTTATACATTTACGGCTCCCGACATTTATTGTTATTATACCACTACATGAGAAATTTCTGCAGTTTGATTGGCTTAGAGCAGTGGTATTTCAGCTTAATTTGAAATACCTACATGTGAAAATTACAAACCTTTTGCGGGTAGTAGTATAAACAAATAATAGAATGATTTGTACGTGATATTTGGCATAAATACCTCTCATGATATTTCAAAATTGTCTCAAATTTCACTCACCTAACGGCTTGTGAAATTACGTATAACAATTTGGAAATATCACTTGTGGTATTTATGCCAAATATCACTACAAATCATACTATTACCTATACAAATGATTGACTAGATTGATATTTCAAAACGGAGGATGAAGATTTCAACCCGCTAATAATAGCCTACATTACAAAAGTGTCAAAGCGTAACATTATTAACACAACTAGGAAGTAACGATTTCTCATACTAGTCATTAGACTGCGAGCAGTCCCTCTTCAGTCAGTCGAGTCTAAGCTCGGTAGGACTGGAGAGAGCGAATTGGCCGAGAGGGAAACAGTCTAACTAGTCTTACCTTTTTCTGCTCGAGAAAGGAGGTGGACCGGACAGTGACAGCCAGCAGAGCAAGACAAGATAAGAACAACTTGATTTTCTGGTGAAAAAATAAAAGCGATTTAGTACAGTTGAATTATAACCGTGAGTTCTTTCCGTGTTTTCCTTTCTTGGTCTTTCTGTGCAAATTTGTGTTTGAATTCGACCTTTGACATATTAACAAGTTTCTTTATCAGTTTTATTAACGAGCGCTGGCTAAGAACATGTATGCTCAGTCTGTATGCTTCCCTTCATCCCTTTATATTACTTTTGAAACCTTACGAGATAGAAAAATTAGTATTCTAACCTGACTTCACTGAAGTGTAGACGATAAGGGATAGTGTTAATTGATAGAATTTGAAGGAACGAAATTAAAGAAAGTGTTACCGTATTGCACAGTGTGTGCAAAGCTCAATTCTCAATTCCTGGCTACCTTCATGGCGTGAAAGCCCTGACATTAAAAAGAAATGTCATTTGCTGCTACAGGTTGTTGCTACATACGAAGCTTTCGACAGCCAAAATAACAGATATCATTTTTCAGGGGCACCCAACGAGAATATAGTTCAAAACCACTTAAACATAGAATTGTTTAACGTATTTTAGTATTTAAACGGTAGATATACACATATTTTTGCCCCCTAAAAATTTTTCATCTGTTCGGATTTCCTAGCTGAAAGTCAAGTGATCCGAAAATTATAGGGATCAAAACTTACCTTTTCGAAAATTTTAGCCAGAAAAAAGGCCCCCGAAAATTCTAGGTGACTTTTTTAGGGTAAAAATCCGTTAGGCAATTATACCATTTTTTAGATGTCCGAAAATCCTAGGAGAGGCAGGCAAGCAAGAAATTTTACAACAAATGTTCCGAAAATTCTAGATCTCAAATCGTCTTCCGAACAGATATTTTTCCGAAAATTGTCCAACCGGAAAAGTTTCGAAAAAACTGGTCCACCTTTTGAGGTAGACCACTTTTTCCGGTCGGACCGGTCGAAATTTTGGTTGAATGGATCGCGCCCCTTGATCGGTACTACGATCGAAAACAGGGAAATTAAACAGAATTAAACAGAATTTAAACGGTAGATATAGCCATATTTTTATCCCCTAAAAATTTTTCATCTGTTCGGATTTCCTAGCTGAAAGTCTAGTGATCCGAAAATTATAGGGATCAAAACTTACCTTTTCGAAAATTTCAGCCAGAAAAAAGGCTCCCGAAAATTCTAGGTGACTTTTTTAGGGTAAAAATCCGTTAAAAATGGGCAATTATACCATTTTTGGGGGGGTTCGAAAATCCTAGGAGAGGCGGGCAAGTCTTAGGAATATTAACTTTAATTAACTTTAATTAACCTGTTTAGCTTACTGTGGTTCGTGCTGCACATTGTATTGACCTGTATTAGACAGGAGAGTGCAAATAAATGGTACCGCAATACCGTGAAGGATCTTCTTTTACCGAATACCGTTAACCAAAGGGTGAAAAACCGCATACCGCAGCTGATACCGTAGGGCTAGATGATACCACAATACCGCACATTAAAATCGAAAATACCGCTTGAAAAAAAGCTCAGTACCGTAAACCCCCATGTACATGTATGCATGACCCCCTCTGGAAAGGAAATCTTTTCAGAATTTATTTATAATTTTGCATTTGCTGGTTAACGAGGGGAGTATTAGATCTAATTTCAAAATTTAATCTGACTAATCGAAAACTAAGACCCTCGAAAACTACGACCTAAGACCTAAAACCCGTCTTAGTTTTCGAGATTACACAAACTAAGACCCCCTAAAATCGATTTTGTCGGAATATGAAGTCAAATTGTAACCGAAATAGGTCTCTTCTGTCCGATTCTTTCCACCGAGTTTTTGGTCAAATTTAACGGTAAATTTAGGGGTCTTAGTTTTCGTAATTTCGAAAAGAAAGACCCCTCTTAGTTTTCGTTGTTACGAAAACTAAGACCTCCAAAAAACCAATCCGTAAAATATATATGAAGTCGAATAACGACCGTTCAAAGACTATAATTCGTAAAACAACCAAAACCTATCATCCGCGTGCTGACAACCCGCTTCTTCTAATAATTCACAGGTAGCCCAAGCTCGAAATATGAGCATCGGCGAACATCGGCATTATTGCGTAACATTCAACATTCGAAATATAAGGATTTGTATGGGAAAAAAAACCTTAGAAAATGAAAGGATTTCAATAAAAAACAGCTTACCTTACTTAAAATGTGTGTGACGTCTCTCCTGTGTGGTCCACGGGCCGATTTATGGCCGGGCTACCTGTGATAATTTGCAGAAAAAAGAAGATGAAAGCCATTACCTGTGTATAATTGTACACTGAAAATATGCCCTACCCCACCGATTGGTCAATAATTTTAGTTGTTTTGCTTAAAAATCGTAAAATTAGCTTTCCACTGGAGATGGAATTTTGCCTTCATTGCCGGCTCTCTGTGGCGTTACCAGAATATATCTTAATCGCTTCCGATCGTCAAGTGGTCAATGGCGTTATTGGTTAAACATCACACAAAACTACGGGTTTTTTTCCTTTTCTGGCCAGGCGATAGCCAGAAAAATGCTTTCTTAAAAAGGGTGAAAAAAGAGTATATGCTATATTACGTTTTTAATGAGTTTTTCTTTTATCTTTGCCACCCCGGAGATCACCGGAAACCAGGTGAAAAGTTACAATGTCAGGGTAGTTGATAGCTGATAGCCTCCCCGCAGACGTCCTTTGGGGTTCCTTTGTCACGCATTCATTTCTCCCTCACCGTGGGGGAGAAATGAATGCGTGACAAACGAACCCCAAAAGGACGTCTGCGGTGAGGCTAGGTAGTTGAGGGGTAGGGTAGGGGCAAGGAGAAATAGACTGTGAGGGATACTGGCTAAAATCACTTATTAAATATAAAATGAATGAATGAACAAATTTCCTGTACTAGCAAGGCATCATCTCGAAAAATTTGCATTTTTTTTCCAGAAAAAATGAAATAGACAAACAACAAGAGCCATAATGGGCTCTTGACAACCAATCAAAACAAAACGCTCCTTGGGTGATTTTTAGGTAACGCAATCACTGTCGCTGAGACACGAAGGTAAAAATCCATATCCAGCACGTGGAAAGCCAATTTTACGATTTTTATGGATAAACAACAAAAATTATTGACCAATCGGCGAGATAAGGCATATTTTCAGTGTACAATTATACACAGGTAGTCTATGGCTTTTCATCCTCTTTTTTAAGCCTCAATACTGATATCTCCGCAAATTTTTAGAAGAAGCGGGTTGTCAGCACGCGGATGATAGGTTTTGGTTGTTTTACGGATTATAGTTTTTGAACGGTCATAATTTGACTTCATATATATTCTGCGGATTGGTTTTGTGAAAGAAAACTAAGAGCGGTCTTTGTTTTCGAAACTACGAAAACTAGGACCCCTAAATTTATCGTTAAATTTGACCAAAAACTCGCGTGGAAGAATCGGACAGAAGACAATTTGACAGATTAGACCCACTTCGGTTACAATTTGACTTCATTTTCACGTCGACAGATTCGATTTTAGAGGGTCTTAGTTTTCGTAATCTCGAAAACTGAGACGGGTCTTAGGTCTTAGGTCTAAGTTTTCAATGGTGTTAGTTTTCGTAACACCCAAACAAAGAAGGCGTACTTCTTTTTCTTCTTATCGGAGCCGAAGCTCAGACTTATCTTTTGCCTTTATCTTTTATCTTTGATTTATCTTTTTATCTTTTACAAAATTTCCTTCGATTGAGAAGAGGCAAACTTCGTCCTGAGCACAGATAATATAGCTTAAATCGTAAATAGTTAGAAGTAGACTGCAAAACTGTCCGTATTTTTGAGTATTCAAATACGCGCGAGCAGTCAAACAAAAGGTCTGAACGAGGCAGACAAGGCGTGTGACGCTCGCGCGATTCGCGCGCGTAAGACTCCTACGCAACGCTTTACCGATATCTTTCCTGATTTTGAGAAAAAACCCGACTGTTTTGCAGTCTAAGTTAGAAGATGTTTTATTAATCTTTAACTTATCCTTGACTCATATGTACTCTAATCTGTAAATACATGTTGATTGTTATTATCTCTTTATTTTGAATATGCTGCGTGTACTGATGTGCTGTTAATATATTAAAAAACTTTGGTAAACGCTATCCAGAGTGAAAACGCCATTTTCCTGAACTCTTAAAGCGGACGAAATCGAAAATGTCCCAAAACGCCAAAAAACAGAGGAAATTCACGTGCAGGCTCGTGACACGGACATTAAACCGCAAAATATTTCGTTGAAAAACACGGTGGGATACGGTCTCTTTAGTGTCGCTGTTGCTGACTACTTGAGGAAAATTCTATAGATTGTAATATTTTCCAGGAAAACTTTGACAGACAGCCTGTCAAGGTATAGTGTTTCCCTCACGTAGTCAGCAATGTTTTCAATGAAATACTACGCGGGTTAATGTCTGTGTCAGGAGCAGGCACGTTTATAGCGTTTTGGACAATTTCGTTTCTTCCGCTTCACGAGTTGAAGAAAACGACGTTTTCATTCTGTATAGCGTTCTCAAAAATGTCCATTTTTGATTACGATATCTTCAAGTTTTACATTTTCTGACGGACATTTGGACAGGGTTTGGAGGAAATATAGATGCAGCATATCCTAAAACGATATAGTGACAATAACAACTAAACAATGTAAACTCATTCTACTGACATCACAGGGCGCCCACACAATCTGCTTGTGTAGCCGATTGTTATTTTATAGTAAATGTACTGGATTTACCGTTTGCCGTTGGAACAGTCAAGGGCGAACTCAAATTCATTCAAAATCGCTCAAAAAAACCGCTTTTGAGGCAAAAGGACGACTATACACCACAGGTAAGGTAATTCAACGTTTATTTATCATTGATTTATATACATACTTAGCGATATATCGCTATAGGTGAAGCAAACGGTAAATCCAGTACATTTACTATAAAATAACAATCGGCTACACAAGCAGATTGTGTGGGCGCCCTGTGGTGACGTTGCATTTTACGTGATTCTCTGGTGTTGCAGTGCGCATCCTGTTCTGCGCACTTAAATATTACGCAACAAGGTGGCTTGCTGTCAAAGACCCAAGAAACGGTTGTTATCTACTCAGCAAGCGAGGTGACCCACTCTTTTCTCGCATAAATGTAGTCTTCTAGCCCCTATATTTGTGCTGTAGAGCTCATAAAAGAAATTTTGTCTTAAAAAAAGTAAAAATTATTGAGAAAACAGAACACGTAGACATCACTTGTGCAGACGAAATAATATCCTCTAGCCTGTCTCGCACTCGAGGAATATTTTACTCAGTGTCTTTTCAAGAGGTGTGCTTGTGCGATAAGCAAAAATTACGTTCTTTCTTTTGATCATATATTGAACACAGCCCGGGTAAAACACAGTGGTGAATCGTTGAGATTTTGCGCTAAAAAATTAGATGGCTCGTTAAAACGAATAATCTCGTTTAATAATAATACTAGTTTATTCTAAACCATAGAAAAGATTTAATAAGAAGTTGAATTTTTCGCTATTTTTCTTTCACTTTTTACATTTAGTTCCCTTTATTTGCCGGAAAGGAAGCCTTAACAATTAAAAGGACGTTTGATTAATTCACAATGGCGCATTCTAGTCTTATTTTAAACTTTATTATATAGCGGAAGGAAATCTGTAAGCAGGGAATAAGTCAGCACAGAATTTGATTTTCGGCGAATTTCTGTAATCGTCCATCGTTCTGCTAGTGAGAAACTAGCCGTTGTTCAGTCGTCTTGCTTGTTTGGGGCTGAGTCTTATTCCAGTCAAAAAGGGGGCTGAAGAAGTAAACACTGCTGGCTCATTCTTTGCCGGCTGATGTTTTGGTAACATTCGCCTTTATCCTGGTCCAAAGAGATGTGCAAAAACCCCAAAGGTGTATGGCGTATGCTGGTTGCTTTTTTAAGTAGGAATGTTTATAATCAAAGTGATTTCTCAAAGAGAGAAGAAAATCGCCAATTGCAAGCCCATCTGCAATCATGTAGGCGATTGCTCACCAGGTTTTGGTTACTCTCTGATCATTCGTTGTCGTCAGGAACTAAGATTTAAACAAGAAGATCGTATGTTGGGTTGGCCATGTTGCCCTTCAGGCCAGCTGCGCACCAACGCCTGCATAGGACATCTAGCTTATTGCCCTGGTCAGGACGTCAAGATATCTGGACTAGTAAATAACGAGAGTAGCAAAACAGTTATCGGTTTTGAAGCGCAACTTGTACAGAGAGTGCTATACAAAGCACGTGAAGGTAACGATTAACCCTTTAACCACTAGAAATGACAAGGATCTAATTTCTCCTCACAGTATCGCTGCTAAATCAATAATCAAGGTCACGGGAATAAAAGAAATTATCGCCACGAAAGGAGCTCTCGATTGTTCAACAAATTCTCTTCGTCGGTACGACAGGGAATAAATAGAGAAGAGTATGGAGAATTGCTTAGTGAGGTTAGGATCCCCAGATGTTAAGGGTTAAGGAATGCAACATTGAAAAAATTAAAGTGGGGTGGGAAGAAATGTTTCCACTCCCCTATCTGGCCTCACCAGGTCTGTGCCATGCTTTGTATCACGCTCTTGATATATCTCATCTTGAGAAAATAAGGCCGTATTATTTTCTCTTGGTCTTATTCAATATCAGTTCTGAGAATTTAGTGTCAAATCAATTATTTTTTCAACTTCTCATCACTTGTCTGCTTGAAAGTGTAAGGTATTGTAAGGAGAAATTACATCCTGACCAATACTGGGAGTGACGTTTCTCTATTGGACAGACAAACGCAAAATGTACCTTCTTAGTTACTCTAAAGGAAAAAAATTGTCTAAAGTTCGTAAACCCTCGTGGAAAGTCTGTTGATTTCTCTGCAAAATTACTATGGTGGTTTGACATTTGTGTGGTAGCTTCATTCTAGAAGGGACGTCGTTTAAGTCTTTTTTGTTTGCTGTTTTGCCTAGCTACGACACGTACAGTAACAGAGAAGCTTTACGTCCTCAAGAAAGAACAAGAACTAGCACCTGGAGATCAAACCAATGTCGAGTTTGATTCTTTCGTCATACCACCTGTGCGTCAACCAACGTCGAAGGGATTCGGATACATTGACATTTCGTACGCAAATTAAGCAAGCGCATAGTTCACAAGATAAAGATGTGAGGGTATAGTTCATAGCCAGAATATTGTAGAATTTTTTCCTTTGTGCGTCGAATTTTCTTTTTTCCATGAGTCGGCACAGCCACCAGTAACCTTTGCCTCTAGCGTTTTTGTGGGTGCTTTGAAACTTTGAGTAGCAGAGCCGCGGGAAAGCTGGAAGGGTAGATAGTTTCTCCCTCTGTTTTCGTCTCAAGCCCCTCTTAGCTCCGCCGCTCAATGCTGTAAAGAAAAAAAATCCACAATTTATTAACTTATGTTGCGCAGATATCAATGGTACATTTTCATCTGCGCCTTGCAATGTTTAAGAAATCATGAATTTTACACACTAGTATTTAAAATACTAAATACAAATTGCAGTTAATAATTTAATAAAATGAAATACTGAAAAAGAAAAAAACCTCATGTTCTAAACTGCTCTGCAGTTGACTTCTCTCTTGAAATGCACTCGATCCCTCCCCTTTGAATGTAACTATCCTACTCAGGTACGTTAAGACTTTTTGATTTGTACTTCTGTCTAGTTTCAAGTGCGCGTGAAGAAGGCCTTCAACACCGACATAATCTTCCCAGTTGTGATAACTACAGTACCCCCTAACACCGAACCCTCCGCTGATCCGTTCTTGAGAGAGCAGATCTTCATAGCTCTTGCCAATTACCTCGCGTCACGTGCTGCTGCAGAATTAGACAGCGATTCACAAGAAGCTACTGAGGGAGAAAGAAACACTGTTTAGGATGAACAATCTGCTCCTGAAGCCACTGATAAGTAATCTAGTGAAAATTTTCGTTTTGAAACTGTTGATTTGATGAGAAGATTCCATTTCGCATTGCTAAGTTGTACATCGCAGCTCGCGTCAAAGTGGTAATGTTTGTGGAAATGAATGATGACGTCCTCACAATATTTTGACGGCAACAGCGATCTAAACTTAGCAAACACGCAGTAAAATAGCTTATTTGTTTTATACAGACGCGATTAAAACATCGGTTGCTATTGTTACGATTTTAAAATAGTTGTTGTTCCAATTATCATTGTCTTCATTTTATTCATTATAATTATTATCATTATTGTTATTATCATCGCTATCAATATTTTTTGATTGGAACTTGTCACTATTTGTGTAATGTTCGGCATAGTAATTGAATAAACTCAAACAAAAACCGGTTCAAACATGGCTTCAATAATAGAAAATCAGGATCGCTTCATACACAAAATTACCTGCCCGGCATAGTGGGCTTTATTTTGTCACGTATTATCATCTTAAATTCGGCTTGTTGTTTTGTGTTCAGGTCCAACTGTCGCCAGCAGCAGAGAGAGACCTGGGTCTACTTCTGGCCAGCCATGTCAATATTACAGAATGGCGTAAAACGCCATCAAAATAACAACAACAACAACAACAACAAAATAGCAGAAGGGAGATCTAAGTGTATAATTCATGTGTGTTTTGTAGCTTTTGTATATATATTATATATGCAGGTAATGGTCTCCTGATATATGTATTTTTTTTTCCATTAAATTAACACTTCAAAAACTCATAGTGTTTAGTTCGTTTTTTTCCCAAGTCAGCTTGGAATTTTAGTAATGTACGATCTGTTTACTGTATTTTGTTTACTGAATTGATTTGCAATGATCCAGATTACCATTGGGGTGCTAGAGAATCTCAAAGAGATGTTTTGCCCATGGTATCAATTTTTTTGAGCAACTGCAGCAAATATGCGTGCCAGTAGTTACATTACTGACTATGAACAGTTATAAATCTATGATGATTTGACCTGAAGATAAAATAGCAGTTCGCGAATTTATTGACACGGTTATCTGTTACTTTCTGAAAATTTATCTTTCGTCGAATTCAAACCTATGCCTCTCAGATACTAACAGGGCGTTACTACTAACTGAGTTTCGGAGCCATATATTATAAGCCAGGCAAAATTCAGTGAGTTTATTAAGGCTTGCACCATGGGATTCTACAGGTTTGATTGGGTAAGGATCTTTGATACACTAGTCAGCAATTACTCCGCCTTTGGTTTTAACCGTTTGTGACGTCTTTTCCATGATTAGTAAGAGCATGTACGATGGTGACTTGTGGTCCATTTGCTACAGTTATTATTAAAATCTTTTCACAGAATACAAGTGAATACCCTACACATAAGTTCCATTTTCTTTCATGTGTGCTAAAAAATGCAGTGGGAAGGATCAGGTATGTTGCTGTTTGAAAACACCTATATTTTAAATATTGATTAAATGTTAGGTTTATGATTAAGTTTTCTTATACAGAAGCCGAAGGGTAATTGGCTCTTCATTTTTTGCCTCTCTCTTCTCATGTTCATAGCATGATAATCGATCATGATAGTAGTTAATTGTAATAATTTGAAACATGAGTTACACATGATCTTAATCATTTTTTTATTCTTTTAATTGGACAGACCACTGATGCAGAAAATGCAACTTTCTGTATGCATACACAAAAAATGCCTAAACTAAAAATGTATGCATAAATTAAAAAGGTATTCTAGGTTCTTTGTAAATGAGCTCTCAGATACTGACGGTGGGAGTCTAGGACTCGCAGGCAGGAGCTCCATCGTGGTCTGGGAGAGGATTCAAGCGTAGAACAGATGGAATACTGGAGGAATCACATGTATAAGGGCCCAAGGATGTATCTGTCAGTGTTGGTCCACCAGTAGTCATCCCCAGATGCTTACGATCATCAGACAGGAAGACGTTTCTGTTGTTGGCATCGTACTCTGTGGTTGTACCTCTTCCGTGTGTAGCTTGCACCCAAGGACCACGGTCTGTTCTGATCCATGCTGGACCCCACAAGCCCTTACGGCGGTAGCCATTTCCGATCCAGTCTTCAAGAAACGAGTAGGGATTCTCCAGTTTCTTGCTTGCTGCCTGAGGACGAACCTGGAATGATGCTAACAGTCGCCAGATGTTCAGCTCTGGGATGCGGAACCAACCCGTGAAGACGGCCTTGTCGTTTTCTTTTGCATCTGGTTTCACGTTCACCATGAGCTGATATGTGTGGCCTACCTTCCAGTCATAGGTAAGATAACTCTGGCCACCTGTTCCTTCGCCTCCAAAGCGTTTAACTGTGACGCCTTCACCATGGGCAAGCACTTTGACCAAGTCGTCCGGCAATGCATTTGGATCGTCTTCTGTCGAGGTCTTGTCCCAAATGGAGAAGAGTACCCACTTAGGAGAACGATCTTGAATGCCCATGTAGCCTCCAGTGAAACCATTAGTCATGAAGTAACTGCTACCCGCTGTCTCTTTAACGATCACCTCGTTGTAGAACCAGGTAACCCCTTCCCGCTGTACTTCTGGATTGGCGGGCGCTGACCACCAAATATGAACCGAAGGTGAACGGTATGGCTGTTCAGCTACGAACCATTTATTTGAGAGGTAAACTTCACTGACCTGATAAAGAGATGTCATTCACTTATCACGAGACAAAGAAAAAAAGAAAGAAGGGTTCCTCCACGCAGATTTGTACTTCAGAGTTTAAGAAATCTCGGTTCTATATTCTTCCAGTAAACTCGTAAGAGACTACGCCGGTGAGCATGGCCACATACTATGTTCTTACGTGACCATGGCTTGTCGAGTGAACAACACAAAGATGATAATACGTACTCTGGACAGATGTGAACTGACTCTATGCCCTGGCTTTAGGTACTATAAATATATTGCATCGTACCAAGACTTTTAGGTTCGTATCCTTGTGGGAAGAAGGAAGGAAGGGAAGAGGGGGTATGGGTTTATTTCTTCCTTCTCTCACTTTCGCAACAAAAGGCAGTTTCCTAACATCTTCACTTACCTTGAATTTAGGGCTCCAATTTGCTTCATATGGTTCTTCAGCGGGCTTTGATGATTCAAACCCCCCTGTGCTACCACCAAGGAAATCTTGCATGTACTGGGTTGCAGTAATTACCCACGAAGTGCCTGTGTAGAACATCATTCGGCTGTTACTTTGGCAAACCCAAATGTTTTTATTTCGAACTTTGTCGTCTGTGAGAGAGTATTCCCCAGCACTTTTAGCGTAATCATCACCCTCCACCAGAACCAGCCTTAGTTTGGAAACATCCTTTAGTTTGGAGGCCATTTACGTGGTTTTTCTGAAGCTTTGCACCTGTGGAGAGAAAGCGGTAAAAATTTCAACCCTTTTTCAATCCGAACGTTTCATAAGAAGATGGCGTTATCAATTTTTTACCCCACGATTTATAGTTTTGGTACATCGTTATTTGTTTTTGTAGCTACTGCCTCCTATACGAGGGGAAGCGTGACAAAAGCAAATGTGCGACTTTCAATGCATAAATTTCTCTCAGTGCTATAAAATAATTAACAATTAATGAATAAGGCTGAGTATCTTATGAAGAATTATGGAGATCGAGCAGGGTGTTATTCGTCGAGGCCGTAGGCCGAGGCGGATAACACCCTACGAGATCTCAATAATTCTTGTACGAAAAGCGAATTCAATAATTGCTTTATTATTCATTCAAACTAATTCCAAGTTTAAAAACATGGCTAAAACATGCTTACCTCCATCGACCCATCGATGTTAAGTTCATCTTCGATAGTGCACGTTTAGGTTTGTCTAACTCCGCAAATATTCTCCAAATAGTATATGTCGCCCTTCAAGTTGTCGTCTTGCTGTTCTTGCCATGTTTTTAGCTATTGTTTCGCCTATTTCTTACTCTTGAAACGAGTGAAATGTCGGCCATTTTTCAAGTTCACAACCAAAACAATTCAGCCTTGTCCCCAGGTCTTCTCGGTTAACGGTGCCTTAACCTGCGAAAACGCTGCATTTTTGACGTCATTTCCTCGTTTAACACAAAATTCTTCCAAATTTGGTCATCAGTGACTGGTTATGGTGAATTAAAAGTGTGCTTTTAGCCAATCAGAATCGGGAAAATATTTTGAATGAATAATAACAGATTTTAATAGGTTTAAACTTAAGAACAGGGAATGAAACAATTTTTTGA